TGAAAAGCTATGAACAAGAATAGAACCTTTAAATAACATAGAAACAGAGGAAACAAGTTTATATTGCCTTGATATGCGTGTTACAGTGTCCCTATTGATCAATCAACTTTCCCTTTATATAGTAGGGGAGTTTTACCCTAAGTACAACTCTAAGAAAGGTAAAATTTTTTTTTTTCGTTAATCAGTGATCAGCTGCTGATACGGGCCGAAATCCACGCTGTGATATCCGATTGGGCGCGGATAGCACGGCCCCTCGTTAGTCGTGTGCAACCATTTGATTGTGCCTTCCGAGGTCTTGGAGCCCTAACCGGATTCGGCGGCGTTGTCTCGATGGCCCCGGTGGTGAGTGCTTCGTCAAGGCCTTAGTGCGAGAGGTTCCTGACTTCGATCTCGATTCCGAATAGTTATGTCATTGCTTCGTTTCCTCCACCGGAAAATCGGAGTGCTCGATATCCTCGGTTTTACCCGTATACAGATTTATAGTTCGATGAACTATGTTTTATAAGGCAAAAAAGAAATGCACTTTATAAGTCGCACTCATTTAAAGCTACTATGTGTTAGTAAAAATATGATTTATAAGTCACGTTCAATGAACGCGATTTATGAGTCCATTCTTTTAATTACCAAAAAAAACTGAAGCAGTTATAAATTTAAATTTTATTACTCCTACTATGCAAGGGTTTGACACCACTGATATTTTATTGCACATATACATCAGGACCTCTTAAAAGAAAGTCAGCAACTGCTCCTCTCATTAACCTTTGATTTGGTTCCTCCTCAAGCTCTTTCATTTATTCAGTCGTTGCTTCTTCCTCTAAATTACTTTGTTACCGGTAAGCATTCATGTTTATTTTTGGGAATTTTCCCCCTTCGTGTGTGTGTGTTTTTGTGCACTGATTTCTTTTTCTCTGAAGACGAGGAAATAAGGGTTTTGGTTTATATATTTATATGTTTTTGTTGACCGGCAAGTTCTTTGAACTTCGAAACTCTGGGATAATGGGTCTGCCCCTCTACGATTCTCCACTTAAATGCGAAAGGTAGAGGGGCACTACTAACTAATGCATATGAAATGTTTGATAAAATGTCCGTTAGGAAAATCTTACCTACTGCTTTGCAGATTTCTCATTACTATGGCACTCTGTATAAAAGGAGCAGTAAGCAGTCCGGTGCACAAAGTATCCCTGCGTTCGGGTTCGGAAAGGGCTGCACCCAAAGAGCGTGATGTAGGCAGCCTACTGTGATGCAAGCGCCAATGGCTGATTCCACGACTCGAACCCTGTGATCTATAAGTCACACGAATACATCTTTACCATTGCTCTAAGGCTCTTTTTTTTTTTTACTGCAGCACTATGTATAGTAGTCCTAATTTCAATAACACAATTACTTTAATTAACCAACTTTTTCTACAACAAAGAATTTATGTGGTTGCTTCAGAGTATTTAATGTGTTTGATTGTTAAAATTTAATAAGTAATGAAAGTAGACCCAGGGCTTAGTTCAAGTGCAAAATGTTGAGGTACCGTTTAAGCTTCCTATTAAGTGCAGATGGGTAGAGGGGCAGACCCATTGTTCCTGAGTTTTAAAGACTCCTATTGGTCCTAAGAGTTGGCCCCAAATGGATTTCTCGGTCATCAGTTTTTTGTTTTTGTCATGCTTAATTCTTCTAGATCATATTTAAGTATTTTCAAGCTTATGCCTTAACATTTGTACCTTTTGAATTGAATTAGTTTGTCCCATGCAGAAGGCTGTTTACCCCTTTTAAAACAGAAAAACAGATGAACATCTGATGAAGAAGGTTCATGAGCTTTTTATCCTGTTACTTCTTTTAAAGCAAATTTTTTTGAAAAAAAGCAGCTTTGATCTTGTCATATTAAATGCATCTAACTGAAAAAAAGACTCAATTATATCTTCTTGTGTACTCCGCCGGTCCACTTTAAGTGATTTTTTGGCTCTTTTCACACATTAAGGAATTCACCTTTTAGTAGTAATTAACAATGAAACTGACCATATTAACCTTAATTTGCTCATTGGAAGTATAACAAACTACTTCTAGGCTCTTTATTCCAAGGACAACTTTGGAAAGAAAAAGTTAATTCCTTCTTGATATCCGAAGAAATCAAATATTGTGGACCATAAAAATAAGCCAAAAAATGCACCCAAGGGTGTGACCTAGTGGTCAATGAAGTGGGTGAGAACTATGAGATCTCAGGTTCAAATCCCAGCGGAGGCAAATACTAGGTGATTTCTTCCCATCTATCCAAGCCTTGGTGGATAGAGTTACCTGGTACCTGTTGCTGGTGGGAGGTAGCAGGTATCCCGTGAAATTAGTCGAGGTGCGCGCAAGCTAGCCCGGACACCACGGTTATCGAAAAAAAAAAGAAGCCAAAAAATCACTTAAAGTGGACTGGAGGAAGTAATTTTTAACCTTTTTTCTCAGTCATAATAATTAGTTATTGGAAAGTACAACAACAAACTCAGTGTACAAATTATCAACCAAACAAATAGTTAATATTTTTACACAAATAGCCGGACGGATTTACAGTTTATTTTTCCTAACCGGTATACATAGATTGTACACTAATTATACATGGTTATACACATATTATACATGGATTATACATACACTATACATCCGCATGCTATTTTTAGTTTGAGCGATTGGGTGAGCACTATTTAGGTTAATTCTTCTAAATATTTAGATAATTGAAATAATGAAGAAAATTGCTGAGGAGAATAAAGATAGTGGACAAATATAAAAGTACTTTCGAAGCCGACTCCAATACTCTCACTAAAAAATCTATGCCTGACTTCTTTTTCTCTCATTAATAAGAACATAAGCTCCTACCTAAACTTGTCCTTCTTTTCTACTTTCTTCCGTTCTTTGTCACACTATGGTCATAACTATTTCCTAATCTAGAATAATACTTTGTATAAGACTAAAGCATTGTAGCCACGGTTTGCGTAGGAAGTGTTAAAAGTTAAAAGCAGAGCTTGGACCACTGGGCTAAAGAAAACACTGATTTGATTATCTGTGTCACGACCCGACGAGGGCCATGACCGGCGCTAAGTCAGTCTTGGGATTGTATATTGGGTTGTGTTAGTGATAGCGTAGCTTGAAACTTATACAATTGTTGTGGGAGCTTGTAGCTTGAGATTGTTCATATTTTCTAAACTTAACATGTTAGAATTACTAGTGTTATGGTGCATTTAGCACGTACAGAGGAGACTCTGCCGAATTTTTGATATGGCAAATAAGTTAGGCTTACTCATCTGATAAAATTGGAACGATACAGAAAAGATTAGCATGGTCCTCGTCGGTCGTGACAATCTGCTTTAATAATGTTGTTTCGAAAGTTTAGCCCACTTGGCCAAATTTGTTAAGGAATATTTTACATATTTTAGATGTATGTCTAATGTCTTTTATTTCAATTGATGCAGGATGGATGAAATTTGCATCTATATTGCTTACAATGGCAGATGGACTACTAATAACAAGTATTTGGATCATGACACCAAACTAATTCTTGTAAATGATGAAATAACCTTTGAAGTTCTTGTTGAAAAGATTTTTCAGGTTCTAAAACTGAAAAGGGGTGACATTGAAGTAAATATTTGGTTTGATACGAAGCTAGAAACAAGCAAAGGAATGTTAGTAACAAACGACAATGAAGTTACTACTTGCATCTTCTTGGTGAAAAATAATTCCAGTTTCAAGACTGCCCGTTTCATTGTCGATATCGTGAAAAGGAATTCTTTGTCAGCAAACAGTTCAGAAACGGAATTGTGCAATAACATCGTACATGAAGAAGTAAATATTTGTATTTCACAAGAGGAAGGAGTATGGGAAATGCATATTGGAGATAAAGCATTGATAGTGGTTGAACCAGCAATGGCACCTGAACCTCTGACGAGTAGAAAATTAACTGAGGAAACTGGACAGACATCAAATGGTAGGAATGTAAGAAAAAGGTCGGCCAGTAAAAGAGGCGATTTGCGAACTATGGTTTTGAACAAAGATGCTTCATTGGATGAAATAATTGTTGGATCTATGTTTGAGGACAAAGAAAGTTTGAAAAAATGTTTTTCAAATCATGCAATTAAGTACCAGTTCAATTTTAAGGTCTATAAATCGAGCAAAACAAGGTATTGTCTAAAGTGTTATGATGACGAATGCAGTTGGTATTTGCATTCTGCACAGGTCCATGATTCTGCATTATTCAAGATTACTAAGTTTGAGAAAAACCATAGTTGCTCTGTTGATGTAACTGACCATCGACACGCAACATCAAAGGTCATATCCGATTACATCACCGAGCTACTACATGACACTAAAATAGAAATCAAACCAAGGTTTGTGGTAGAAGAAATGAGAAAGAGATATGGACTGAGCATTAGTTACCACAAAGCATGGCGTGCTATACAATTAGCTCATGGTATGCCAAGCGGAAGTCCAGTTCAATTTTAGGGTCTAACAAAAGTGTAGCACACTATGTGTTGTTCTCCAATTTGGACACTACCTACTCGAGATTTAACCTCTCTACAAAGGGAAGTGTGGTGAGTTTCATTTTACCTACTTCTTTATGTTTCCTTTTTAATAGAGTTTGACAAAATGTGTTTCTCCGCACATGCTTTCTTTTCCCCTGCTTTGTATATAAATATTGTTTTGGTGTTGTTCTTCAAGATCATAGTTATTGTTATTTAGGCTATGATCTTTGTTGTCCTTATTAAATTCTTAGCTCCGTACAACTACTTAATATCAAAATACAAGTTAATTGAAGTCCCACCAAGGGAAGAAAAGATATAGGAGACAATAGGAATTACAATGTGTTATACTCATCCTTTGGTAATTTATGCAGAACCAGTTGCAGATATAGAGCCCGTTGGTGAGCTGAATTTGAGCACTTCTTAAGTGGTGCAGTGTATTCAAAGGCGCACTTAAAGCGCGCTTAAGCTCTGAAGCGAGGCTCAAAACATGTTGAGCACTTCGCCTCGCTTAGCAGGCACTTCAGTCTCGTCGTCAAGCTTTAAGGCATACTTTTCCTAGCCAATGAGCGTAATCCTGAAGAGGCGATACTAAACAAATGATATTTCACTTTATCGTAATTCTTTTTCAATTTTCTTTGTTCATATATTTGTTATTCACACTTATAATTATTAGTCTTGGACTACACATACATTTTATATTTTTTTTCCATTTGCGCCTTTTTTCGTTAAAACCCATGCTTTATTTGCGCTTAAAGCCCCAACAGACCTTAGAGTTTTTTTGCGCTTCTCGCCTTTCATAACACCGAAGTGGTGTTGCGCTTAAAGCCCCAACATTAAGCTTTTTTGCGCTTTTCGCCTTTCATAACACTTAAGTGGTGTAGCTGAATTTATGAAAAAGTAGTTACATGTTTGGATAGAAATGGTGAAACTGAAAATAAGCCGTTGATGTATTTGGTAAAAAAATGCTGAGAAGCACTTCTCTTGTGAGTAGTAGTTAAATGTGTTTCCATGGTTTGATGCTTAGGTAAAATAGTTGATCGTCCAACTCTTCTCTTCTCTTTACTATTTCCAAGTTCATTTCTATTTTGTTTTTCTCAAGTTAATGTTTGTCGATATGGAAAAAAGGAGTTGATAGAGATGGACTTATATTGACAAATATATTGATCTTATACATGTTTTTTCATAGTTGGTAATCTGGTGCAATGTATATTTGAAATTGATAAATTTGAACCTTTTAAATTGTTGTATTAATTCATTATTTGCATTTCTATTACCAAGTTATTGTATATGTGTATTATATAGATACGTAGAGGTAATGCTGCGTATATCTTATCCTCTTCAGACCTCATTTGTGAGAATTCACTGGGTTTTTTGTTGTTGATGTTGTTGTTGTTGTGCTTGAGTAATATTTCATTCTCACAATTGTCATATTGACAAAGCTAAATTGCCTGGTATCAGACTATCAGATACAAAATTGATCATCCTAGCTTTTTATTTATGCTTTACTATTGTTACAATGTTACTATGAGACATAAGTGAGCATAATATGTTCAACATGTAGCGGAGTTTTTACAAAAATCAATTGTTCAACTTCTTCAAAATTTATTTCCTTGTGTCTGGTTAGTTTTATTTATAAAGTGATGTAGTTATGTGGTTTCGTGTAATTAAATCATTATTAAGATAATTATCTACTAAATATCATATACTAATTACAATAGGTAGGACTGTCACGATTGGGTTTGGATCACACTTGACGGCTTAAATATGTTTTTATTTTATTTTTAAATTTAACCAATATATATATNACTTAAAAGCGTTATGAATTTAGTGATAACAACTTGTCAAAAAACCAATTTTTTTTACCTTCTTTTTTTATTATAGGAGAGGCGATTATTAGATGGGAATTGGGTAATTGCCAACTTGTCTAATTTAAAATCACTGGCTTTCTTTGTTTTTTTCGTTTGTAGAATGATAGTCATTTACACAATTGCTTTTATAATAATATATGTGTAATGTATATAACTTAGTAATTATATATAATTAGTATAATTTATATACATCGACTATCTAATCGATTATTTGTGTAAAAATCTTTTCTGTCTCCATTTTTGGTCAGTATTCAAATCTCTTTCTTTATCTTTATCCTCCTTTTTTTTTTTTTTTTTTTTTTTTTTTTTTTTTTTTTTTTTTTTTTTTTTTTTTTTGCAAAATCTGCTAAAGGTAATTACTTGAGAAATAACTAAATCCAAGTTGAGTCAACCTAATAACTAAATTCATTGTGTCCATTCAGTCTACCTAAATTCATGTGCTCAATAGTCTTTATTACGTACCAAACATCGTACTCAGCAACGTTTTAAAAAACCAATCATGCTTACGTTAGACTCTCATCTTAATCCTTATCCAAAATAATTACATATTCCACAGTGTAAAGGGTCAGATTACCTCTACATATTTTAAATTTAGATAATCTCTCTTATTTGTTAAATTAATAAATCTCTTCCACCTTTTGTGGAAGATTATTTATAAATATTTTTCAGCCATAGAATCAGTCATAAACTCTTTGGAGTGATCTTTTCTGGACCCTGTGTCTGCACTGAGCGATCCTTTTTTAGGTCTCATTTGTCCATAAATTTTCTTTTTCTTTTTTTCAATTTTTTTTTATCAGAAATGTGTTTGTCTATGAAATTTTGCAAGTTTTTGAAAAAATTTCAAAAATGAGTTTTCAAAAACCAAAAAGTGATTTTGACTAGTTTTTTAAAATTTTCAAAAAAATATTTTTCTCAATTCACAAAACTGTAATATTTTTTCAAGTGAAATACATGTCCAAACATAATTTTAAAAATACTATTTTTAACTTAACTCTAAATATTACTTTTTTTCAATAATTTTTATGTCCAAACGCCCAATGCAAAAGCAATTTTTTTTACTGTATATACGTTTCTATATATATGGCTATAAAAATTCAAGTTATCTATATGAACAAAAAACTATCAGTCCTAGTCTCACCAACTTCCCTCTAAATTAAACCATCATCTCCACCGTAACCATGAATCATTTTTTCAAGAACTCAAGATTGGCTCGTAATTTCTTTAATGGTTTCAGTCAAATTCACCCAAAAAATACTCAAAGGTACCGTACCTTTTGCCAGTTTTCTATAGAAGGTCTAATTAAATGTTCCGCAAATCATGTTCCTTTGACACCCTTAAGTTTCTTGGAAAGAGCAGCTAATGTATTTAGAGATAGAACTTCAGTTATTTATGGTTCTAAAGTGAAGTATACTTGGGAAGAAACTCATGTTAGATGTGTAAAACTTGCTTCTGCTCTTGTTCAGTTGGGGATTTCTCGTGGGGATGTGGTAAGATTTCTGTCAACTTTTCTATGCTTAAAAATTTATTTGACTTTAAATCTTGATGTTGACATGCTACCAATAGAATAAAATATTAATCCTTTTGATATAGTGATATCATAGCTTACGCGGACTCTCCAAAATGTTGCTCAAGCCGTGTCTGATCCTCCAAAAATGTACTAGTTTTGGAGGATCTGACACACACCCGATGATATTTTCAGAGAGTCCGAGCAACATAGGTGATATATGTATCATTTTGAGAATAAAATATTATGTTGAAAATATTTCAAAATGATATAGGATATAGTGATATCCTCTGCTGTGCTGATTCTCCAAAATGTTGCCGCACCTGTGTCGGATCCTCCAAAAATGTGTCGGATCCTCCAAAAATGCGCTAATTTTGGAGGATCACCCGACGATATTTTCAAAGAGTCTGAGCAACATAGGTGATATCTGTATCATTTTGATAAGTTTGGATGATACAAGGCTTTGAATCTTGATGACTTGCTACCTAATAGAATTAATTTAAGAAGAAATTTTCTGATGAAAGATTAGTTCCTTTTTAGTATTGGTTTGATTCTTATGAGATAGTGAATTCGTGTAAAAATGTTTGACCTTTTAAAAAAACAAGAAATCATTTATTAAATTTTACCAAATTTACCCTTACTGTTCTAATTGGTGGAGTATTGATTGAAACTTTTAAAGAGAGATAGAGGGCTCTTATGATTATGTTTATTAAATGTCTTTCTTAAGGGGTGTGCAAAAAGCTAAGGCAGATAACATGAACCGCAACATCTTAGTAGCCAGAGGAAAAGAAAGCAAAAGCGATTCCCATAGTAGCGGCAAGCGAAATGGGAGTAGCCTAAACTGTGAAAATGAGGTTGTTAGAGAGTAATACAAGCGTAGTGCTGCTAGGGAAACAACCTGAATGTTGCACCCTAGATGGAGAAAGTCAAGTAACCGAAAGTATCACTAGCTTACGCTCTGACCCGAGTAGCATGGGGCACGTGGAATCCCGTGTGATTCAGCAAGGTAGTATTTTTTAACACAGTAAGCGGAGCTGAAGTGTTTGGGGTTGTGAGATCAATATTTCCAATTAGTAATTACAATTAATCTAATCCAGTATAGGGGAGCTTGTCTTTATATTGTTGCACATTAACTATTAAACCGAAAATTAGCAAGACCTACAGCTGCTCAAAATTAGAGATTTCTAGTGTGAGGCTCTAATGTTATGGTTTGTTCATACTAGCAATGAATGGGCTTTGATATGAGATGTTAAGGATAACGATTATAATTAGTTAAACTTCAATGTTCTTAGCTGGTAAATCATGCTTGCTGTAGGATGACTTGATTAATAAATTAGGTACAGTTGGCATGGACCCTCTGTTCATTTTACTGGTATATCGACATATAATAAAGTAGTCTTCTTCATTCTTCTTGTGAACTTCAGAAGCAGTGCATTGAGATAAAAGCTTTATGTTTATTTCTAATTAGGTATATGGAACTTGAACTGAAATGTTGTAAGATTTGGCACCACTTGAGTTCAAGTATACTTCCACGAGCTTGGGCAATTGCTTTATGAAATTGTCTACATATGATAATGTAGAACAGGTTTTAGACCTGAAAAGCTCCACATAGCTTTTGTAGCGAGTGCTATGAGGTTCATGACTTTCTTGATCACCTTATTTGTCAACCATAGATTAAGATGTGGCTAAAGTCTCTCTTATGGTTGCCTATATCACGCTCGAAGGTCTCTTGAGTCTTCGATGTACCAATGACTCCATTTTAGGGTTTAAGGAATAAGATATTAAAATTCCGGTACGGAGTTCTGTTGTCGTCCGGACAAGTGAATAGATAGGCTGCCCCATTCTTCTTTTGGATTTAAGAAGCGGTTCACTGAGAGTGTAGCTTTATGTGTCTTTCTAATGACAGTGACTAATTACGAATATGATGCTTGAACTATTATGTTGTATGATTTGCATTTTAGTTCAACTTTGCCTTCTGAGATGGTCAAAGTTAAGGATCCCCCTCGTTATTTTTTACTTCTTCACTTGTCAATCCACTTCCTTAAGACAATTATTTTAGCAGTTTAACGATGTCGCAATAACTTATGTCATTTACTTCCACATTAAAAAAGATCTAAATTTCTTTCTGTAGGTTGCAACACTGGCCCCTAATGTACCAGCAATGCAAGAGCTACATTTTGCAGTACCAATGGCTGGAGCCGTTCTTTGTACATTAAATACACGCCATGATTCAGCTATGGTATCGACATTATTGATGCATTCGGAAGCAAAGGTCATATTTGTGGATCAGCAGTTACTCAA